AGACAAAAAACACTTTGTGGAGCAGGGTTTTTTACATGATCTGTTTGATTTTGATTGGGGTAAAATCAATCTGTGTGCTGATGTAGAAACTGCATGGTCTTATTTTTATCTTGGTTTTATGAAAATTATAGATAGACATGCACCTCTGCGTAAATTTAGAGTGAAGGGACGAAACAATCCCTGGTTTTCTGCTGAGCTGTCCAGTCTCCTTCATGAGAGAAACAATGCTTGGACTAAGGCTAGGAAATCAGGCTCAGAGGTAGAATGGCTACGCTTTAGACAGCTAAGAAATAGCTTCACATCTCAAATAAAAAGTGCTAAATCAAAGTACTATTTGTCAGTTACCACAGAAAACCTGAATAATCCTAGGAAATGTTGGAAAGCCATAAAATCGATTTCCACTGGTGATATCCCAAATGAGCTACCTCCGTGCCTCACCACAGCATCTGGCATTATATCAGACAGGGCTACTATGCTAAATTGCCTTAATAAGCATTTTGTGTCTTGTGGCTCTCTGTTTGATTCTGTCACTGACTGTACTTCTGCTTCTGTGAACGCTCCAATCCTTGACTCTGAACAATGTGGTCTGGAAAACCCTTTCAGTTTTACTCCTTTAACTATTGGTATTGTTCATGAAGCACTATCCAAGTTAGATCCTAGGAAACCGGCTGGCCCGGACAACTTAGAAACTTTCTTTTTAAAGATAGCTGCAGATTTTATTGCTCCACCTCTTACTTCTCTTTTTAACCTCTCCCTCAGCACAAATACAATTCCAAAAGTATGGAAGTCTGCTTATGTCTTGCCTTTGCTAAAAGGAGGGGAGGCAACTATTTTAAATAACTTTAGGCCAATCTCCAAATTGTCAGTTCTGGCTAAGGTGCTCGAACGACTTGTGAGTGAACAAGTAAAGGAGTTTTTATGTATAAATGATATCCTGTCTAGACATCAGTCGGGATTCAGAAAGAGACACAGCACCATCACTGCGACAATGAAAGTGGTAAATGACATTACTAGTATTTTGGATAATAAGCAGAGTTGTGCAGCTCTGTTTATTGACCTTTCCAAAGCGTTTGACACCGTTGATCATCGCAATTTAAAGCAGAGGCTACTCAGTATTGGTGGTTTGTGAACTACCTCTCTGAAAGGTCCCAATGTGTTCATTTTGATGGACTGTCTTCTGAGTGGTTAAACATTTCTAATGGTGTACCACAAGGTTCTGTTTTAGGACCACTTTTATTCTCCATATATATTAACAGCGTAGGTGATAATGTGGATGAAGCTACTTTACATTTTTATGCGGATGATACTGTGATGTATTGTGCAGGTCCTTCCATTAAAGAGGCTGTTGTTAAATTACAGGCTGTTTTTAACATTATTCAGACTCAGCTCTCTGAATTAAAGCTTCTTTTAAATGTGGATAAAACCAAGGTAATGCTCTTTTCAAAAGCAAAAAAGACACCAGAGCCTGTTTTAGATATTGTAACTACGCAAGGAACAAAACTTGAAGTTGTTGCCTGTTACAAATACCTTGGTATCTGGCTTGATGATTGTCTCTCTTTTAAACTTCATGTCAATAACCTGCTTAAAAAGCTGAGGGTTAGACTAGGGTTCTTTTTTAGAAACAAGTCCTGTTTCTCTTTTGAAGCCAGGAAAAGGCTAGTCACTGTGACCTTTTTACCTGTGCTGGACTATGGTGATTTGTTGTATATGAATGCACCTGTCAATTACCTGAGCAAATTGGATGCTGCGTATCACAGTGCTCTGAGATTTGTCACAAATTGTAAAGCGCTTACACATCACTGTACCCTGTATGCCAAGGCAGGTTTACCATCACTCTCTGTACGGAGGCTCAGTCACTGGTACACTTTTATTTATAAAGCTATGTTGGGCAAACTCCCGTATTACATCTGTTCTCTGGTAAAGCAGAAAGTTGCAAGCAGCTATTGTCTGAGATCGCAGGATGTAGTCTTGTTAGATGTACCAAGAGTAAGGACTGTCTTAGGTAAGACAGCTTTTATGTGCGCAGCTCCACTTGCTTGGAACAGCCTACAGTCCAAATTGAAATTGAGCAATTATATTTCTCTGAATGTTTTTAAGGCACGTCTGCACGAGATGCTTCCTGACACTATGGGTGTTTGTAAGTGTTGGTGAATATGTAAATATGATGTCCTCTATTGTTTGTTTTTATGTTGTTTTTATGTTTCATGTGGAACTAAATTGATGCAGGTCTCCCTTGTAAAAGAGATCCATGATCTCAAGGGACCTATCTGTCTAAATAAAGGTTTGAAATGAAATGAATGCCCCACCTGTGCTGGATTCTCTTGTCCCATATGTGAAACCCATTGTCACAAACCTGGGTGTACGCATTGATCGTGATTTTAAACTAGACAAACAGATTAACTCTGTGGTAAAATCCAGCTTCTTTCAGCTAAGAGTTTTAGCAAAGGTCAAGCCTTTCCTTTCTTTTAATGACTTTGAGAAAGTAATACATTGTTGTATATCCACTAAACTGGATTACTGCAATGCTCTTTATATTGGAGTGACCAAGGCTTCCCTGTCACGCCTACAGCTGGTCCAGAATGCTGCTGCACGCCTCCTTACAAGGACAGGCAGGCGTGAACATATTACGCCTGTACTCGCCTCTTTACATTGGCTACCAGTCCATTTTAGAATACAGTTTAAAATGTTGCTGTTCGCATACAAGGCCCTGAACGCTTTAGCCCCACCGTACCTGGCAGATCTTTTAAAACCATACACACCCACACGGTCACTGAGGTCTGCTGACAGACTCCTTCTGGAAGTCCCAAAATCGAGGCTAAAGCAGCGGGGAGACAGAGCCTTTGCTGTTGCAGCTCCAAACAAATTACCCCTCCAGGTTAGACTTGCTCCAACTCTGCCTGTTTTTAAATCTCGTTTAAAAACCCACTTATTTTCCCTGGCTTTTACTGTACAGACCAGGTGACACTTGTGCTGTTAAATGTGGTTTTTATTTATTTTTTACCTTACTAGTGTTTTGTATTATTTTTACGTCATATAGGAGAGTTTTTCAGTCGGTGGCTTCTGATCTGGTTTCATTGTCTCGTGTATTACATTTGTTTCATGTCCTGTCTGTTTTTATGTATTTATGCTATGTTTTTATACAGTTGATGTACAGCACTTTGTTCAACTCTGTTGTTTTTAAATGTGCTATATAAATAAAATGGATTGGATTGGATTAATAAACGTGTGCACCAAAATAAGAAGATTTTCTCTTGTTTTGTAGATTTCAAAAAAGCATTCGACTCAATTTGGCATAACGGTCTGTTCCTGAAGTTGATTAAAAACGGTGCAGGGGGGAAAAACATATGATATCATTAAAGCAATGTATACCAATAATAAATGTGCGGTGAAAATTGGCAATATGGAAACAGATTTCTTCCCCCCACAGTCTCAGCCCCACCCTATTTAACATTTATATTGATCAATTTGCAAAATCATTAGAACAATTCGATATCCCTAGACTCACCCTCTCTGACACACAAATTAAATGCCTCCTGTTTGCAGATGATCTAATATTGCTAGCTCCATCTAAGGAGGCATTACAACAGCAAATGGATCATCTGCAAAGCTTCTGTCAGATCTGGGCCCTGACAGTTAATCTGGAAAAGACCAGGATTATAGTCTTCCAGAAACTACCCAGGGGTCAGGGAAACCCACACCGGTTCTTACTGGGCTCCACTGGCATAGAACACACACACAGCTACACATATTTGGGACTCAAAATATATATATATATATATATATAGAGAGAGAGATATATATAGAGAGAGATATATATATAGAGAGAGATATATATATAGAGAGAGAGATATATATATAGAGAGAGATATATATATAGAGAGAGATATATATATATATATAGAGAGAGATAAATGAAATACTATATGGCAGTAAAACAAGAATACAGTTTGAAAGGGGAGTGATTTGTAAAATATCCATAAAGAAAAAGAAAATCTGTTTACAGTTCTGTTTCATATGGGTGCTGAGAGAGGTATCCATAGATCTCTTCATGTTGCTCTCAAAGTGCACCAGATTGATGCTTTTAGCTTCAATATTTAAAAAAGATATTCCCGGGGGAGCATCCCTCCGGACCCCCCTAGAGGAGATGAGGACCTAGAGGAGGTGAGGACCCCCCTAGAGGAGGTGAGGTCCGCCCCCCACTCATAAAAAAAGCACTTTACCCCTGCCTATATGCCGTGAGCTGATTATGGAGCCTTCATTGTAACAGTAATTCAGATGCAATTAGCCTATATAAAAGGCCTCAAATTGGAAGCACTGTCTGGGCCGTCTTTTTCACTCAATTCTGCAATAGGTAGATCTCGCCTTTCACCTATAGGCCGAGGTCGGTGATCTTGGGCTTAAAAAGGTTGGTGACCACTGCATTAGATGATGATACATTTTCGCCCTTGGTGGACAAATAATATTGTTCCCCCATTGTTTTGTCATTTATCAAAAATTAATACTTATGCAAATTGATATTTTTCCTAGTGATTACATTTATTAAACACTGTATGTTGTGTCCTGGGAGGTCTGAGATTTAAGTAAAGATTGGGCAGTATTCAGCCCTACTTCCTGCCTTTCAATCACCTCACTCTGGAAATACTGTGGTGGTCCTCATGCCAGCTGCACAGCATGAGAACAGCTTTTGCACAGGTGAGGCTTTAATAATACAAAATGTAACCATTGCGAGCCCACACATCCAGCACAGTTGAAATTACGACAAATGTGTTTCAATTGTGTGAAGTCTTAAAATATGTAAGCACACATTACCTTATCTTATTTAGTTCTACAATTCAATACAGATTGAATGTGTGCAGCTTTTGAGGAAATATTCAGTTTTTATTCAGTTCTAGAGGAATGTTATTGTTGGTATTGAGTTGGTCCAGACCACACATTTGAGGGGGAGGGCAGTAACTCTAGAGGAAATGGGTGTTGATGACTCCTCCTATATCTAACTCCACATTCCTTTTCTGTAGCCTTTTCGAAGTTTTGGAGCCAAGACTGTGAGACCAGAAAAGGGCAGAGGAAGGATAACTGCAACTAGAAAGCAGTTGTCAACAACCACTGAACATTACAGACTCAAAAGCTCTGTAGCTGAAGGGTAAGAACTTCATCTTTGTTATGTGAGCTTAAACAGACATTATTCCTGGACTTTCACGTACAGCTTAGTATGATGAATCTATTGCCAAATAAAATGCAGGTCACTCCCTAATGTGATCAAATGCTAAAATACGGTTTCATTATGATATTTAACCTTCATAAGGCTGCGTTTCTGTTGATCAACAGTGCATTTTCTGTAATCATCACCTTCCTTACTGCCTGTGCTAGTTACCTCAACATTATGTAAACCAGATGTAGCACTATCTAATCAAACACATGCCTCTCTGAATTGTCCACAATGGAACAGCAACAGTGGTTTCCCCCTCTGGACAGAGCTGGGTGGGAAAGACAAACATGAGCAAGGCGTAGGATACTCATTCCTTAAAGTAAGTTGTCTTGTTAAGAGAGGACCATTTACGAAAAGGAAAGGTCTACCCCACCATTTGTATTTCAAAAGTGATTTAATGATTTATGAAATTGGCTAGCAACAATTTACAAGATGCACAGTTAAGGTCCCATAACAGCATAGAAAAACTGCACATAACACTTGTTTCTGTTTTAGGATTATTCGTTTTTTAGTTATTACTGTATTTACGTTTGACATGATGTCCGTTATGTTTTTTTTGCCGTTAGTTATTTATACCTGTATCTATGGGAAATGAAACCAAAAAGTCTTGCTTAATGATGCGATTGCCTGTTTTTGCAAGTGTCCTCAAAAATGTTGGATAGAAAAAAGTGAATCATACCATTGAGTCATTCATTTCTCCTTTTTAGAGTTGTTCCTATTTAAATGCCTTTTTGGCTAAGGGCTGTAAGATTTCAGACTTTCACTAAACAATTATCATGGCAAAAGCAATGCACCAGTGATAATATTATCATAATATCTATAAAATATTTGAAAGAAAAATAGCGCTATCAGTCTGATTCATTGTTATCCTCTTGCCAATTCAACCTTGCTCAATATACGGTGTAAGAAAAATTGAGTCTTTAACCATAATTGTACAAAAGCGTACAAAACAAAGAAATGGAAGTTATTCAAGAGGCGCTAGATTGTTATCAATCTTAACACAATATGACATTGTATCATAAGAGAATTTAAATGTTTTTTTCTCAAATTGAACCCGATGTATTATGATGGATAATCATCCTTTATACTGCAAGGATCTTTGACTTTGGATATGTCAGACCTTGTTAGGTAAAGTTTCAGGATAAAGCTTGTTTACAATTGTTCCAGGGAGTTGATGTTCTGATTCCTCAGAGACCGGAGCTGCTCTGGAGACGAAGAGAAACTCTCTGTGTCTTGCATGCTTGTGGCTGATAAATGGGCAGAGATTGTCAGTGCAGATGTTGAGATGCGTGATGAAAGTGCTCAGAGTTTCCCCAAGAGGCCGACACAGGGTCCATTGTTTCAGGCCACTTCCTTTAGAAATCTGATGAGCATTTTGGAAATGGACCATAAAGCTGCTGATTCACAAATATCAAAGTTCCTATATCATAAAAATGGATAATTCAATTTTTTAAAGTCAACTTCACTTTCATTCAGTTGTGATGTCACACTGATACTTTACATATAGGCAGAAAGTGCCGTCACATTGTTGTTCATTCCCTGGCTACAATGGCAGAACAAACACGCAGCTGCTAAAGAAGTTTCAAACAAATGATTAATACATATAGTCAGATGGACACTATTAGAAACAAAGGTATTTTGAACAAATACAATACAAGAGGAAACCTGCTGATGAGCATTACATCACTCCTGTAGCCCAAACAGATTTTACAGATGCAATTCTATAATTATAACTAGAGAATGCAATTCCTGAAGAAATTGCTAGTGGGAATGCTTTATGCTGAAAAGCTGACGCTAAACTGCTTTGCTGAAATGTAATGTGTAAGAAGAAAGTGAAGATTTGAGATTGAAATGATACATGAACACTGGGGGCTTGAATGTGTGATGAGAGAAGAAAAGAAAGTAAAAAGGCTTGGAAAAGAAGCAGAATATTTCAACTGCAAACCTTTGAACTAACTTAATGGTGAATGATCTGTCGCCATGCCAACGGCATTTGATGACATCCCATAATACGCTTAGATGCGTTGATGGCTGCATCGTTACCAAACATGTGAAGTTTTGGGGCGTTTGGAGCATTTTCACTGAAGTTATGAGAAAACCGTGAGTATCTGAAGTGTAATTTTTGTGTACTTTCGGGTTAATAATGTGGCCTTTCTGGCAGTTTAACTAAAGGTGTGCGGCTGCTGCTGTGAGGAAATATCAGCCTGAAATTACAATGGGCTTGAAAGGAGGCATGTTGAAACTTTTTGTCACTTCATGCCCTCAAGAGGCATTTTGTTGAATTATCTTTGCTTAATTATTTGTCATTTTTCAAGCTACGAGATGTTTTCCTACGTTTGTCATGATAAATTATGTCTCAGGAATGTAGGGTTTGGGAATTATGGCAGTTTAAAAAAAAAAATATGAAGGCACATTTCAAGATTTCCTACCCTCTAGCTGTGACATCACGCACTCTAGTTAATGTTAAAATCTGAAGAAAACCTCTTTAACAAGGCCTGAACAATGTTTAATATCTCTAAAAGTAAGAATCAGATTTCAAAGTTGTGTTACACGAATAATGTCAGAAAGATGTGTAACATTTTAAAGTTGGAATGAGGTTTCTGAGTGAAAGTATGAATGAACAGTTAGCAGTTGAAGTCGCATGAAGATTTGTTGAAGTCTGAAGATTTTCTCCATTGACTTCAATGTTAAAAAATGTATGAATTATGGGATGTATCTCTGGAATTATGAAAGTTATGAATGAGAAAAGTAATAGCCATCGATTCCCGACTGAGCTGAACGTTTTGATGTTTGAATGGAGTTTCTGCGATGTTCAATGCGGGAGGAGAAGAGGGCCAAAATTCCGGCGGAATAATAATAAACTTTTTGTGCGTAGAATAACATATAGTGGGAATGCTGTATCAGCATTCCAACTAAATTACATTACAGGTTTGTTTGTACACAGGATATACCACACTTTTCCCTCATTTCCAAGCAGCCATGGTTTTCCTGCTCATATTCATGACCGTGCTGCATTTGGTGACCTTGGCCATGCTCCTCATCGCCACCCTGGAGAAGGTGAGACGCATGTTTTCTCTCTTCCTACAGTAGATGTCACTGTTGATCCCTGTATGATGTGAATAAAGGCTCACACAAATGCTGCACATCAACTACTGCCAGCTGTGGTGTTGTGCAATTCTGAGAACCTGTCTTCGAAAACTGAACCAATCTTTATTTTTGCTTTCTTTTATTCTTTCTGCAGTCCTGGTGGATATGGGATGATTTAGAAATCACAGACCTCTGGTATAACTGCTTCCATGATAATGCCACGAAGACCTGGATGTGTGCTGCTACAAATGAGAGCGGTACATTTTAAATGATTTGTTTGCATGCTAGCCTGCATTATTTACTGGTCAAGTTTTGCATTGTGTTTTGCTTGTGAGTGTCTTACACTCATTCTCTGACTCACTCTCCCAGACTGGCTGCAGTCGGTCCAGGCCCTCATGGTCCTCTCTGTGGTCTTCTCCTCCATCTCCTTCCTGGTTTTTCTCGGTCAGCTGGTCACCATGTCCAGAGGAGGACTCTTCTACTTCACAGGCCTCTGTCAGGCATTTGCAGGTGAAGTCTTGAGTTATTACATAAGCCATATCAAATGTTGTCAATGAAAAAAAAAAAACAGCTTTTTATTTTTTCACTTTTAAGAGCCATGAAAGCTTTGAATCTTTTGTGAAAACTTGACTGCACTTATATTTTCTTTGCAAATGTAGCTTTTGTTTCTACAGTTGTTACGAGAGTAGACCTGTCAAAGTATAACTTGACAGGTCTGTCAAAGTATAACTTGACAGGTCTGTCAAAGTATAACTTGATGAGTGAAATCAGCTTGGTTTTTCTCTCTCATTATTTTGTGTTTTTTTGGAATCGTGACTTTATATTAATTTAGATGAATATATAGTTGTATCAATTTGAATATCAGTCTATCCCACATTCACAGTCTTGCTGCTATTAATAATAAACAAGACTATAATAATCTACAACGGAAAATGTTAGTTAATTATAGTCCCCTATAAATGCACTAGTTAATCCTGTAAAAACATACATGCCCATCTGTTTTCGAGAATTCTATTTCAAAGTGTTTTATTTATATTTACAAAGGGATCCTAATTAATCCTTATCAGGTAGTCACACAGGCATACCATGAAATGAACAGGTGTGGTGAGACATTTTGAACTAAAACCTTTTAATGTCTTGCTCCTGCAGGCTTCACAGTCTTTGCTGCTTGCCTCATCTTCACCTTCCACAGAAAGGAGATCTTAAGTGAATCCAGAGATCTTAGCAAAGGACGCTTTGGCTACTGCTTCATCCTGGCCTGGCTGTGTGTCCCTCTCCTCCTGGTCAGTGGAGTGCTATACGCCCACCTGCGCAAGAAGCAGTGAGCCACAAACAGAAAATATGCAAAATAAAAAAGCTCTTCACTCACATTCCAGAGTAAAGATAGTGCACATGAGGAGATAAGAGACTAAGAAGAAAATACTTCTTTAAATGATGTAATACTTTCAGACACAAAATCCACCCTACCATGCTACATGGTATGCGGGACGATATGTCATGATGATGACTCTCTTGGAGACACATTGTTATTGTTACTCAAGACCAAATCAAGAAAACTTCTAATCATGAAGAATTCTGTAATGGAAGTATTTGCTAATCAATGTATACCTTGTACTTAATGTATGATTGTGATTATGTTTGATATGTTTTGTATATATCTGTGTACTTATTAAAGTAAACAGAAGGTGCAATCCTCTGATGTTATGCTGTGGTTGCTAAAGGGTGTGCCAATCGTTGTTAAAGCATCAGTCAACATGTTGTGGCATTCAATGTTTACGTTGATGTGGTATGCTTGCATTTTCCACATCATTTCAGAGGAAGTTGATAGAGAACTAATAAGATATTGGTTACACTTCAGCAGTATCACATTCACCAACACATTTTTCCCAGAGGTAATAAAAACGAAACTACTGTAATTATACCTTTTAGATGGAAAGTTATGTGTAGTGTGAAACTGTTGCCTCCAAACCTACCTGTCAGGCTGGACCAGTCCAAAAAGGGAGCTGTGAGGTAAGAAGCAGTCTCTAAGACAAAGTTGACACGGCACTATTTGTTGCCACACACGTCGAACGCGTTTAGTGTATGACCTAGAGCCAGAATACCAAAGACTCTGATTTAAGTAAAAATACTGCAGCTGTGAAGACCATAGAGCGACACATTCGGCTCGAGACTGTGTGTCTGAGCAGCGAACGGATCTGTCAGCTTTGTAGAATGTCTGGAATCTGAGAACAATGTCGGTTGGAAGGAGTGGAAGTGTTTGGAGAGGTGAGACGATCGGCATGGGAAGGAACACATGAAGAGGTATAGCTCTTAAGAGCTTTTTAGTGATACTCGAGCCTGAGAGATGAGACATGCTTTCCAGGAGGTGGTCTTGCCAACATGGAGATATTGTGACTTTTTGCCAGAAGAATGAATGGAATTACTTCAACTAGATCCAAGGGTGACGTGAGCTGGTCTGGGTTAGATTTGATATCACACTACAGAAATCAGTAGTGGAAACTTTGTTAGCAGTTTTACACAGAGACATCAGGCTGCCGTCATGTCCAACTCACACGAGCAGAGCCTTGATGAGAATGTAGTTTTTCTACCGGTGAATGAGTCCTCCCCAGAGTTCCTCCATTGTGAGAAGGAGCGTCAGGCAGTGGAGAGACTCCTCAATGCAGGACCAGAGGCCTTCTACAGCTCCATCGACACAGAGCGCTCCGGCTGCTTCCTGTCTTCTGAAGAGGTCAGCCAGATAAGCAGCTGGGCTCAGGACTATCGCCTTCACCCGCTACAGGTGCAAAGACAGGAGAATGGAGAGGACGGCAGCTCAGAGATGGAGGACTTCTGTTCCACATACTTCCCCTCCTTCACAGACACACCACCACCGGGCCTGGATCTGGGCTGGCCTGAGAAGAGCCCCTGGGGAGCCAAAGACAGCGTTAGAGTCCACACCAGCCCTCCTGCAGAGGGAGACCCTTCTGTCAGGCAGATCATCAGATGGCACTTGCAAAATGCTGGCGAAGTATGCAAATATATCATGTTATGGATAAACACGTTTATTTTCATATGGTAGAGCTGGAACACTCTGATTTAAGAACTGTTTTTATGATAATGTAATTTATTGAGAGTTAATACTTTAACACCACTATATTTCAGAGATACATCTTCTTTTTTGCTATGTTAATCTGGAGACTTAAGTTAAAGATCGTACTAAAAGAATAGAATACAATATAAAGAACTCCTTCAATTTAAACTTTTCAACAATACATAAAATATAGTAACATGAAGCAACTTTACCAGCTCCACTACTTTTGTGGTTAATATTAGTTCAGTTTTACTTCTGTGAAGTAGCATCACATCTTCCTTTTCTGCATCAATATGATTTCTTTTAGAAAAATAAAGAAGAAATAAAGGGTTCAATTTTGTGTATGCCACTTTCTGGACATTCCGATCAAGTACAGACTAAGGAACATATTTGTATAATACACAGGTAATTGCCATTGTAACGGACAAGTTGACAGATAGTGCAATTATTGGAGATTTACACAAAGCTGCATCCCGGGGTGTCCCTGTGTACATCATCCTGAACCAAAGGTCCATTCAAGAGAACTTCACGCTCAACAGGCTCAGGCATCCGGTGAGTCACCTCCTGCAAATTAGCACACACCTAGCAGCCATTTGATTGGGTATGTTTGACATGACAATAAATTAACCCAAGCACCGCCAGTCAAAAGTGCCACTGGGTTACATCTTAAAGCATTGTTATAAACTTGATACACTGCATTTTGTGTAGTGGTGTCCTTTTACTCTTACATTCCTGTTGAATAATCTTAGGAATGTGAAATGTACTCTTGGCAATAGTTAAACTGGTTGCAGAGCATTCACAGTTGACTGTTTCTCTTGAGGTGGTGAAATGCTGTGCCTGATGTTGAATACCCTACTACAAGATATCAATTCATTTCATGATAGCAGTTTATGAAATTGATGAATGAACCACATTTTAAGTTCTCCATCCCAAAAATGACTCTTGCTCACCATGAGGTTGACATTTATGGTTTTTAGATAACTGCATTGACTATTGTATTGGTTGCCATTACATTTGGTGAAGACATTACAACCCCTCAGAATGAATTTTGTCAGGTTGGTGATCCCTTAACTTTCATCTGATGCCCTCAGGCCAAATACTTTGGTTAATGACGCAAAAAAGTGCAAAACTAATGACAATCACATCTCTTCATCTTTACTTTGTTTCTGTTACTAACTTGCACATTTGTGCATGCTAACATGCTAAACTAAGATGGTGAACATGGTAAACCTGTTTCTGCTAATCATCAGCCGTGTGAATGTAAGCATGTTTACACTCTGACGTTAGCTTTTGGCTCAAAGCACTGCTATGTCTATAGTACAGCCTCACAGGGCCCCTTGCATGGATACTCTTGTTTACTATAAACCCTGTGTAAGATATTATGCCGCTTCATCTCATTGTATCAAAGATAAACAACACCTTTTTCATTTCCTTCTATCTCAAATTTCAACTCTGGTTTGTGGTTTGGCAGAACATGCAGGTACGTGTTCTTGGTGGGAAAACCTTTTGTTCGAGGACAGGAAGAATGGTGGTCGGAGAAATGAAAGATAATTTCCTTCTGTTCGATTTACAGACAGTGATTCATGGCAGCTACAGGTGAGCAGTTGTTTCATTTACCTCATTTCCCATTGTTTTCCTTATTGTAGAAATCATCATTGACATGTGGATAATAACTTCATGCCATTTTTGTATTGTTTATAATTTCAATAGACCCATTACTTTCTATATTCAATACAAAAAGGTTATAATGATGGGTACTTTATTCCCATCATTTTTTATGGTTGTATTTTCCTAGAACAATTAATAAACTGACAGTTCAATTAACTTTTTCTTTACATTTTCATACTATATTGTTACATCCTTGGCTTACAGCTTGATTGAATGTTTGGTTTTGATCCTAATATTTACTGTCATCCTTCATTTTCCTTTAAATGTATCGGAAACACTGATATAACAAGCTATCTTTGCACTCTGCAGCCTCACATGGACCGACGCCCACCTGCACCGGCAGCTGATCACCGTTCTGAACGGCCCAGTGGTAGAATCATTCGACAGGGAGTTCAGGACCCTTTTTGCTGCTTCACTCCCTGTCCCCGACACATGGAGGGAGGCAGGGACTCATGTAGATGTGACTCATCATCTGAAAGACTGCTCAGATCTCGGGTTTCAAAGACATCACCTGTATGAGCCTGAGATTACCAATCCTCCATCCCCACCTGCTGATTCCCTCCTTGACTGGGTAGCCATGGGGGTTATACACACTACAAAGTGCAGTCCTCTTGATCAGCAGGAGGAAATCATGGCCAAGGAAATGCAGATGCAGAGCCAAATGCTGTTTGATAAAAACACACTCTTTACGGACAGTTTTAGGCCTACTTACAATGAAAACCAATTTGTGGATAACAAAAGGTAAATGGATCATCTTGACTTCAATCTAAGTTGTATTTGGACCAATCATACAGAATGCTTTTATAATTGTCATTTACACAAATACAATGTTGGTATTTTTAATTAAAATGTAACTTAATACTGAAAACTGACACCCAAATGAAAAATTGAAACATGTTTTCTGTTTCTTTTCATTCTCTAATTAATTTCCCCTAGCACAGAATTGTTGTGTAATATTTTGTGTTACAGGTTGTTTGCATGACTTATATATTGCGTTCTTTCTGTATGTGACAGGGTGTATCGAAACATAAATTACCAACTTTCAAGTATGTCTTCTTACAGTCATTTTTTAAAATAATACTGATGAAGAGTATTTGTTCTTGTCTTCTTCTAATAACGTTTTATGCTAATCTCTTTCCTGGAATCTTGATTATTTCCATAGAAAATTGTTGATTTATTGTGTTATTGTTTTTATTCCCTGCAGGGTGGATCACATAATAAATAAGGCTATTTCCCGACAACTCTCCGCAGAGAAGAGCACCAATTTAGATGACATAACACGAACAAGACTTGATGATAAAGGAATAGAACCAACACACCATATAAACATCCTTCCGTTTTCGGAGAGAAGAGAGACCTTAAAGAGGGAAGCCATATTGGGAAAAGTGGGAAGCATAAATAAAACTAGCTCACCCATGGAGAACAAACCATCTTCTAGAGTAAGTAACAGGCCTTTTCTACCGAAGCACTTGAGTTAAAATTGTGGAAAACTGAGATGCATTTCTCTCCTCACAGAAACCTCTGATCCTAATGGTGCCGCAGTCTGAGAGCTACAAATCCCTGAGTGACATCATGAAGAGGACTCATCCCCAGCAGAGCCCTTCAGGACAGATCAGGAAGGGATCGAAGGCCGCCGCGTCAGAACTGACCCAGACTATGATGGAGCTGAGTGTAAACAAAACACAAAACAGAGGAGTCCCGATGCCAAGGTTTATGGCTAGTGTAAGTGTGTGGATTCTTTATATCTCTTTCTGTATGTGCTTGTGAAGAAGTAGTGATGGAGGAGGAGATACTTCTTACGAAAATAAATGAACAGCCCCGTTCAAAGCTTACAGAGATGTTACTCTTTTTAAGCTAAGACAATACAGGAAAAAACATATATTTTTAATGCAATGGACAATTTTAAGAGTTTGGGCTATTTTGGTAAAATTGAAAATGGACTCTACTTATATAGTGCTTTATCCAGTCTTTAAGACCACTCAAAGCATTTTACATGACACAAGTCATCATTCACACCATTCATACAGAGCAGTGTCATTTGCACATGTAAGCTAACATTCACACATGCCATCGAGAGCAACTCGGGGTTAAGTATCTTGCCCAAGGATATATCAACATGTTGACTGCAAGGGCTGTGATCGAACCCACAACCTCCTGATTGAAAGGCGACTGCACTTCCTTGCAGCCACAGTCGCCCATTGTATATCTAGTGAAAAGTAAACAGCCAAAATAGACATTGAGTTGTAAGTATAACCCAAAAGTCAGCATTAGATAATGTCTCATTTCCATTTGTTTACATAATATCTCTGAACAAAAACATTTAAAACAAAAAACAAATGTCTAACTTTAGGTGATAAATATGAATATTGAGCCTTTATCCAATAATCAGATTTGTGTTTCATGTATATTTAAATCAAACATATTTAATAAGGTAATGGCTACTTTGCATATTAAGCTAAACATAACTTGTAATGATATGATTTGAATGTGTTTTTGGTGCCTTAAATCTCCTTTTTTCTTTGACAGTGCTTTGACCCAGATCAAATGACACCTGCTCTTAACCTGATGAGGAAGAGGAACGATGAGTTGAAACCGTTATTGTACAGAAGTCAACAAAACCTTTTGCCCAGAGAGAGGCCCCGCAGCTCCTCTTATGCGTCCTGGAGGTGGCCACTCGCAGAGGCGGAGGGAAAGCAGGAATGAGAAGCAAGGAAGAACATACATGATCAATAACTTCTGTAAAAACATTTGTTTTCACTGACCAAGGACAGCCGTCAACAGTGGATGGTTACAACCTCTGCAGTGTTAACCCAAATCAGGCCAAAAACAGGCTATGACTCTGAGAATAAAGCCATTGTTATATGCATGTCTGTAAATTCTACACAGGAAATATTGGTGAGTATTTTTTCCAGAGCAATTACTATTTTGCTCTGAAATAGTGATATTTAATCATTTTGGAGTGTATTTATTACTCATAGCTTCTAGAGTGTGATCAAAAATGCAGAGTCAATTCTATTGGAGTCAAACCATGACCACGATGTAACGGCGGTGATCTCTGGGGCCGTAGATCTCGGTCTCTTATATTATATAGCTTCATTATTGGCGAAGTATATTACTTTGTTCCACGCTAAAACATTGCACAGGAAGCATGTGAATCTATGTCATGTATGCATCTATTTGTCACGATCTGTCTATGTTTTAGTTTGTCTGTCTCTGTTTCCTGTTGTAGTTTGAAAAGTGTTCCCCCTCCCGTCTTGTCTGTTGCTGGTGATTGTGATTGTGTTCACCTGGTGCCCCTGTGTTTTCTCCTCCCTCCTCACCTGTGTCTTGTTGGTTTGATTAGTCCTGTGTGTATTTAGGTTCTGTTTTCCTGTTAGTGTGTGTGAGGTCCTTGTTGCTGGTGACTGTGTTCACGTGAGACAGTCATATTGAGGCTGTGTATCATGAACCACAGCGATGAATAAATGCCCACACCGGGTTGTGTTTTAACTCTGCCTCCTTGCTTGGTCGGGCTGCTCAATGGTCAGCTTCACACACGCCCACATGTGTTACTTAAGCACTTTGGTTTATTGACCTTTTTCATTATAAAGATCATTATGGTTCATTTATTCTATTCTGAGTAAAATTACCTTCTATTCTGAGTAAAATTACCTTCTATTCTGAGTAAAATTACCTTCTAGTTGGAGTAAAATTACCTTCTATTTGGAGTAAAATGACATTCGATTGGGAGTTAAATGACCTTCTAGTTGGAGTGAAATGACGTTCGATTGGGAGTAAAATTACCCTCTATTATGAGTAAAATGGCAGTAGAGTTGTTTTTAATATACACTACATAGAGTAAATAACCATTAAGCAGAGTCAAATCTAAGCACATAATAGAGTAAAATGAACTCTAAAAATACAACTCTGAACAAAGAGTACATTTTACTCTATATAGGTTGGGACCAAATGTAATATTTTTAGAGTAAAATGTTCTTCAATTTGAGTCAATTTTACTCAGAGAAATGTACTGTGTACCTCTACCTGTTTTTTGTTATGTTAATGTTGTTCCTCTTGAATAGTATTAACCTTTTTCACCACTACAAGGCTGTACAAATTGTAATAGGACCTTTTGATTGAAATATAGAATAACACATATTTGTAGACCTTTATTGAATGGATATAAATGTACATTTGTTTTGATACAGTATGAAGGTCAGGATTTGTATATTATATTAATTGGAATTAATATAGTATGAAATAGATGGTATATGAAATGAATGCAATAATCGTTTTAAAGGTGATGATGTTAAAGGTTTAAAGAAGAAAGACAAATACTTTTGCTAACAGTTAACGCACATGAGGTTATATGCTTGTTGAACAGTTTACACTTTTTGATTTAAATTGAGTTATTTTAATAGCTGATACCAAACGTTTAAGACTCACAGCACATGAACCATGACATAGACCACGTGTACAACAAGGAACAAATAAAGGAATACACCAACTGTCTCTAATGTCTGTTTACACCGGTTTAAACATGTTTGCTGGGTTTGAATGGCTGCCTGGACACATGACCACATTTGTATAAATGTGAGAGGTCGACTAAAGGCTGGCTAGCAAGCAATCATTGGGAGTTAAGTATTATATTATAATATCCAGAACAATCTTCATATTACCAAATATCGTACAAGCGGAGTTGCATTTTTAGTCAGATACAGTGCTCCATTGGTTTTATATTATTCACTCATATGTTTTGTTCTCTCCCTGCACGTTAATTGATACGATATACTTTATCGATCCCAAATTGGGAAATGTTTTCATTGCAGCATGTACAAGTATTGCACATAATTAGAAATACAAAAATAGTGGAAAATAAACAATTGTACAATAAAAACATCTCAAAATAGAACATAAAACATAACTAAAAGAGTGAAAATAAAAAAGTTGACCATGACAAAAAATATGTAAACTATTTGACAAATAAAACACTATTGGCGGGCTAAATTACAGCTAACACAATATTAAAGTGGGATTTTATTTACTGGTGGCGAGGGAGGCTGGGGTTACAACAGGGTCGGCTCTAGAACAAATCGAATGGGGGGGCAATCATTTACCAAGGGGGGGCACACACTGCCGTCAACAACCAACACACAAACACCAACGCAACTTCAATTTAAAAAAACATGCTGTAAAGTCTATTGTCTTTCACACACATTGCAGGGGTGTAGTGCTATTGTATACTGCACCTATGACTTGTGCATACATGCACGGTTGTGGCACGACCACTAAAACAGAAACATATAAGGACAGAGGGTGTCGTTTTCTCATACTGATATTCTGCACAAACTGTGCTGTTGTATTTGCTGTAAAGTGTCTTTACTGTAGGTTATTTTGTATTATACTGTATATACAGCACTTTGGCTCGACCAAAAATCGTTGAAAAATGTGCTATATAAATAAAACTTGATTTGATTTGATATGGACATAGGCCATCATATAAAAAGTGTGCAAATGTATTTAGTATCCTATCCATGTGAACATGTTTTAGGTGGGGGTGGACCTAACCTCCTCTAGGAGGGTCTGGGGGCATGCTCCCCCAGGAAGATTATTTTTAAAATATTGAAGTTAAATGCATCAATCTGGTGCACTTTGAGAGCAAAGTGAAGAGATCTATGGATAGCCTACATCTCTCAGCAACCATATGAAACAGAACTGTACACAGATTTACTTTTTCTTTATGGATATTTCACTAATCATTCCCCTTTTAAACTGTATTCTTGTGTTACTGTCCTATAGTATTTCATACCCGTTTTTCATTTATTCTCTCTTTAATAACTATAATGATCATATAAAGGTATTCCTCGAAAATACTTACATAAATGGTGACCAAACTGTTTGAGACCCACTGAGATAACTTACACTAAAGTGAACTATCTAAACACTGAGAGAGTCCTTACCTCACTGAGCTGAGGTTATAAGATCCTCTCAGTCTGACAGGAGAGGACTGTCCTCCACCTCGGTGTAGAAACAGCCCTTTATATCCGTTAGCATAGCTAGCTAACCAAATGCTAACAACATTCCACGTTACCGCTCGCGCACTCACAAAATGCGCTCGTGCCACACACACACAGAGCTTGAATGAAACCCATGTACTTGTACTGTACTGTATATCATATTATTTTCGATGGCTTTACTGTATAATCAGTGTAACAGATGGACAGATTGCCACTGGGCTTTCATCTAAACACTCAGCCACGTAATGATAACAAAAAAAAGGTCGGGGGTCATTGGTCAAGCAACACACCAATCAGAGAGCAGCAGTGAGCACACCTCAGGCTGTGTTTTATATTTGTATTATTTATTTCTGATGTATTTCACACAAAAAACCTTTAGTGGAAACGTTTTCACTTAGCCTATATGATTAAAAAAAGAAAAAAAACGGCAAAGTGGCAAGGCTTGCCCACCCTGCGTTGGGGGGGCACAGTGACTCATTTGGGGGGGCATGGCCCGCGAATGACCCCCCATGACGCTGACCCTGGGTTACAATGGTGTAGACTCAATGTATTTGATTCAAACCCGTAAACAAGTCACTCAAAACTCAAACACTAAATCAAATAGATGTATGTAGCCCTCCCTCACAGCAGAGGGCGGTGTGCAGCCTTCACGTCGCTGTGGAGACCGTCATCTAAAGTAAAGTAGAAGAAGAAATCACGGAAGCACATGGCAACGACAGTGGAAGTGTGTCGATTCAACGCTATACAACTGGATATTTAATACAGTTCTCTTTTGTTTTATCTCCAGTTGTCAGCACTGGTGTTTAAAAGCATTGCTTCTTTTCCACTGTAACGTCCTGTTTGTCTGCTAACGTGCAGCTAACAGTGCATCATGGTTCGAGAAAAAAGGTGAGTTCGGCCAAAGTTAGCTAAACCAGAGTCTGCATGTTTTTATGTTGCTATGTGATTGTTATGCTGCTAAAGCTGCATTTAGCCTCATAGTTAGGCAGAGGTGTTCTGATACAGTCTATGTTTATGATATGCTTTGACACCTTGTAATCGATTTTTGTCTAAAAAGTTTACGTTTTTTCCTTTTCCAACTGGACTTACAGTAAACACTAAGTTATTCCATTATTATAACGCTAAACATTTTCCAAATTCCTTGAAAACGTATCCCAATTTTCTACAGTTTTGCCCTTTTTATTAACCATGTATGTTTGCTTTTAGTTCAGTTTATTTAGGTATTGTGCTTTCATTCTTGTCTAAGTATGAATGTATTTAGGTATCTGTAAACTTGAATGTTGTATGCATGTGTTTTAATTAGTTATGTTATTATATGAGAGGGAAATCCTTCGATACTGTGTGTTGTATTGTTATATAAGTGTAATTATTTTATTATTTAATGTCGGTCTCCTTTCTTTTACCATTCAGAACTATAAAGGCCCCAAGGCAAAAGAAGCCAGTGCAATATGATGAAGATGACCCTGAGGGATACAAGAAGATGCCTGTCCCTGACAAGGTAGAGCAGCAGATCTGTCCCTGCTGACTGCACTGTTGTTGTTGTTGTTGTTGTTGTTGTTGTCATCACAGTAAGACAGAGATGCATGACATACAAAATGTAGGGTTTAACATACTGAGAGAAATGTACCTACATCTGTTGGTTAATGATTAATAATGATAGGTGATATTTTGTTAGTCACTTGAGTTTCAGAAAAGTTTTTGCAGTAGGGCCTGGCTCATTTCGTGGCATCTGCAGGCAGTGGCAAGTCCTTCCGGCATATGCCACTACTCTGTGGTAGCTGTGGCAAGTACTTCCGGCATATGCCACAGAGGCCGCTACTCTGTGGTAGCTGTGGCAAGTACTTCCGGCATATGCCACAGATGCCACAACTTGCCGAGGCATCTGCCGCTGCTCAACGGGAGTTGCCACAAGATGCCAGAGTAAGAGAACGTTTACGGTAGCTGCCACTCGCCTTCCGTGGCAAATGCTGCTATTTAAACATGTATTTATCGTGTAAAATGTCGCTGTTTTGGCATGACTTTATCGAACTGATCTGTACACAGGACTGATGATCTGTGCACAGGGTTGGGTTGTAACTGAATACATGTAACGGCGTTACATAATCAGAATACAAAAACCAAGTAGCCTAACTGTATTCAGCTCGCGTTATATTTGAAAAACAACTAATCCGAATACAGTTACTTTCGTAAACCTGAAGTGAATACATTTTGGAATACTTATTGGAATTATTGGTGGAAAAGTTTCATTACATTGCATTTAGCTGACGCTTTTATCCAAAGCGACTTACAATAAGTTTCCTCATAAAATGTATCCTAATATTCATTACCGGCAGAACTGTGTGCACAGCGCAGCAGCATGTCTGTGAGGCCCCGCCCCCGCACGCAGATGAGAGTGAGATCTCTTTTTAAATATATTGAAAGTTAAAAACGGAGATGGTTCGATAAAACGTGCAAGATAACGTTTATGTAGCATTTCTTTACTGTCAAAATGACATTTCATAACTGGATCAAATCAAAGTGAATGGCCTGCTGCTGCTGAAGGCATGGGGCAAATGTAAGTCCTTTGCCTAATTTATAAAGTAAACCTTAGCATCTCACTAGCAGTGGCAACTGCAATCAGTTACAGCTGCCCTAAGTCTGTACCCAAGTCTAATAACACCAGTGTACACGTTGCTGTGTCAATACAGATATGTATTTGTTAATTATTTGTCTTTACTAGTCATACACCTGGTTTATCGTATAGCAAGCAGTGGAAACTCCCCTCAAGAAGCGAAAATTGCCAAGGGCGTTGCAACCCTCACTCGCCAATATTTCATCATAAATATAGCACGTTTGTTTATTTTAGCAAACCATGCTCCAAGTAAAATTGAATAGAAATTATAATGTTTAAAAAAATAGAGATCGGACCATCAGTCCTGTGTACAGATCATCAGTCCTGTGTACAGATCAGTTCGATAAAGTCATGCCAAAACAGCGACATTTTACACGATAAATACGGGTTTAAATAGCAGCATTTGTCACGGAAGGCGAGTGGCAGCTACCGTAAACGTTCTCTTACTGTGGCATCTTGTGGCAACTCCCGTTGAGCAGCGGCAGATGCCTCGGCAAGTTGTGGCATCTGCCGGAAGTACTTGCCACAGCTACCACAGAGTAGCGGCCTCTGTGGCATATGCCGGAAGGACTTGCCACTGCCTGCAGATGCCACGAAATGCGCTTGCTGTCTCTCAGTTTTTGACTGTTGGTATTGATCTACAGTATTAAATATAAACTAGATGTGGCTAGATTTCAAATAATATAAATGTTTGCAATAGAGGCAAACTGACAACATTTTGAAAATGTTTCTATAATACTGTTATCTTCTTGTAATAACCAGACACTGGTGATATATATCTCGTACATCAATCACGTGACTCTTAACTAGGGATGGGTATCGTTAAGGTTTTAAAGGTACTACTACTTTTATCGATCCGGTCTTTTAACTGTACTTTTGGAGAA